TACAGGCCATTTACCATTTACATATCTGTACATAGCATTTTATGTTTGGGGGGCTATATGGGGCTGCATGGCATCAACGCATTAGCGTGGTTAGCTCGTTAGCGCCGTGCAGCCCCTCACACAGGGTGATCTGTGGTAATTGGCTAATGGAGATTTGCCGCGTTAATGCGATTATGGCGTGAACCTCATTTTAATGAGATTAACGCTGACAGCACTAACATAAGCATAAAAGTGTACTGAACAATCACACAAAAGCTGCCTTGGCTGGTTGTCGACCTAGCTTTCAAAGAAGATCCAGGATGGCAGTAAATAACAGGATGGATGCAAACAGCTCGTGATTCACTTTCAACTTCCATCCATCCATTCTTCATTTTGAGCAAATATTTACCTACAGACAACTTTAAAAGTAAAGAATCTGATTTAGTATGCTTTTTATTAAGTTTGTTTTCAAATACTGACAGAAATATAAACTTTTTTGTTCTGTAGTTTCTTTGTTGTAAATAAATCTCATGGAAAGCCTGTTTATTTCCCTTTAATGGTGCTACATCTGTCAGAAAAAATGCATTTGTAGGTTTTAATTAAATTATGTTGTCTGTGCCCATGAAAAACTTGCCAAATCTTCTGTGGCAATGCCAAACACCTGATACTGCTATTGACTCGTTTTGAGTTTCCCCTAGCCAACTTGCCATAAATCCTGATTGAAGAATAGGATGCCACGTGAGTGTTTCTTCCACATACTACTCAGGCTTTTGTTTGTTAAATGGATAGATTGTTAAATTGCCAGTATGTCTTGTTTCTTCAGACTTCAATCAGCTAATCCAATAAACAACATCAAACAAGAGTCAGTAACAGAATAAGCTGTTTGGCATTGGCAGATTTGGCAAGTTTTTCATGGGTGCAGCACACATACTCAACCACCCACTAAGAGAAAATTTACAGGCTTTCCCACAAGTATAAGCTTTACTGTGAAAAAAAAAGTTCTTACAAGAAAGAAATGATCAACCAAATACAAACTTCCGTACTTTTTGTTCCATGTTTAGCTGCATTTTGGGATAATATAGAATGGAGTGAAGCCAGTGATGTTACAAGACATTTCTGATGATTTAATGCTTGCTTCTCTCTGTCCTTGTATGTCTCTTTCCCTGCAGATGTATGTGACATGTACCGTGCAGGCAAAAGGCACTCGTCTGGCTAAGCCAGTGTTGTCTCTCGGGCTAATGTGTCTGGCCTTCCTCACTGGTTTGAACCGTGTGGCTGAATACCGCAACCACTGGTCAGATGTCATCGCTGGCTTTATCATTGGCACTGCCATTGCCACTTTCCTGGTGAGACTCGTACCCAAAGCTCATGTGTACTGTAAACTGATTGAAATAACTGATTTAAGAAAGTTTTTTATTACTCCTCAGCCATAAAAAGCTGATTGGAGTTTGTGAATGCAATAAAAATAAATAACTAGTCTGTCAAATGGAATAAAGTCTGTTCCTTCAAATATATTTAATTCCTTTACAACTCCAATCTGGAAAGTTAAACATATTAGTGTTTGTAGTATATCAGGGTTGTTTCAAATGGGTGTACATTTGTGTGGGATTAATGGAGACTCCGTCATTTTTAGAAACTCCCACCATGCTGTCAGAAAGGAGCTGATATATAACAAATTTCCCACATGTGGGACTTATAAAGGTTTATCTTACCTTAAGTTTATCTTACAGTGATGCTTTTAAAGCATACATGTTGTTTGATGCTTGAGCTAATGAATGATAGGTCAGAAATCTCTATATTAGTGCGTAGTGCCTGTTCTATGGCCATACCCAGAGGGTATGTTTTAACCATCCTGAGATGTATTGTAGCCTGTTGGCTAAGATGTAGTGGTGAAAGTTAGGCAGATCTAGTTCTCCTTTATCTTTAGTCCTTTGGAGTTTTTTTATGCTAATCCTGGGTGGGTTTATCTTTCCACAAGAATTTAGAAATAGATTAATCCAGAGATGTAAACCACTCTGGTTTGCATAATTTGCACACTGTTAGAACTCTGATCTACCACCACATATTTTAAAAACAACGAGGGTTTTTACAGTCAGAAACATGGATGTGCCATCGGCTCCCCCGTGTCACCTATTGTAGCCAACCTTTACATGGAGGAAGTGGGGAAAAAAGGTTCTTGGCTCTTTTAAAGGGAGAGTACCCAGCCACTGGTACAGATATGTAGACAGCACCAAGGTCAAAATCAAAACCAAAGATGTAGAATCTTTCACTGCTTACATCAACGCTATGGAGAAAAACATTAAGTTCACAGCCACTTCACAAATGCATGGCACAACATAGAAGAGCCATCTCCACGGGTAGACTCGGCAGTCCATCTGCATCTTAAGGATAAAGGACACTCTTTCGAGGATGCCAATGTTCACATTTTGGACAGAGAGGACAGATGGTTTGAAAGAGGAGTGAAAGAAGCATCTATGTCCACTGTGAGCGACCATCTTTGAACAGAGGCGGTGGTTTACGACACCAACTGTCTGCCATCATTGGCATCGTTGGGGAATAAGTGTGGAGAACAGCCGAACACAAGATCACCCTGGAGGAAAACTCCCCTCCAGCAACCCTGCCCCCTGGAAAATGGTTCAGGTCCTGGGGACACACTGCCGCAGAACAGGGGTAATACCTGAGGTTCAGTGGAGACAGCAACCTGGGATGCAGGACTCTCTGAAGCAGGGGATGGAACTGGCATAGGCATGGTGGACCATTTCTTTTCTTAAAAGATTCACAGAAAAGAAGACCAGACACCAACTGGGGAGGATCAGAAAGACGAACGCAAAAACTATATATTTTGTTGGTACTGTGTGTATGTGCCACATTGGCCATAGAACCATACTAATTTAAAGATGTGTTATATTTGCGCTTGTAGGTGGTGTGTGTGGTCCATAACTTCAAAGGGAAGTTACTACTGAGCGAGGAGTCACTAGTGGAGCAGCGGCCCAATATAGCCATGTTAAACATAGGCCAAGGGGAGAGTCCGCTGGAGAAGTACATCACCTCACAGGTTGGTACTGCCCAACAGAGCACACTGCTAAAATACTTCATCACAATTTCACACTTTAAGAAATTGAAGCTAGTTGTTTAAAAAAAGAAATAAGTTTATAAATCAATGGACAGGAATAAATGTTGGTGTCTTAGTTAAAGACTTGTGTGATCAAGAAATATTACCTCCGAAGTCAAACATCAGCCTCAAATGGGGAAAGGAGAAGTTTAATATGCTAAGGTAACCTTAAGAGGTGTAAAAACTGTCAAGACACAATGTTGGATTATACAAACGCTATAAAAATCTAAAGAGTTAGGCTGTGTGACTTTTAAAGATACCACTTACTGTAGATAAAGTCAGGAACTTAAATACAATCATATATGACACCCTGGGTAAATGCAGAACATCAACTCAAGCATGTGTGTTAGATTTTAAATACAGTGATAATGGGACTAGTGTCTTCAACCATCATTGGTAGAACGTTGGAATGTGTGCAAAAGCTGATGCATTTAAATCCACTGTATCTGATGTATGTATTAGTGTAGAAAACATATTTGACTCAGTCTGCATACCAAGCAAAAATACAAGTCATGTGTAGCATGATTCCAATGTTAGGACACTTTGATCTAACTTCTACTACAGTGTTCTGGATCGTACAGTGCCGTGAAAAGTCCCGTAGCTGATCACACATGTTTCAGATCACCAAAGAAATGTATAATATTATACAAAGATAACACAGGTAAATGCAAAAAGCAGTTTGTACAACTGGCCTATATGAAAAAGCAGCCCCCCCTACAATTAATAACTGGTTGTGTCACTGATGCATATCAAGCAATTTTCACTCTTTCACGTAGAGTCTCATAGGCTTGCATACCTGAGCTTCTGTCCATGAATAAATCAATCATCATTTAAAAACATTTTGTATTTACAAAATGTATTTGCATTAAAATAATGCAAACAACATTCTGGCAGCAATGTTTCATCCTATATTGATCTGCCATTTCCATAAGAAATAAATTAATGAAGGAGACAGAATCTAAAAATCTCCACTGAAACCCAGACTGTTGATTTGGTACATCTGGTCTGCTTAATAAGAGTTAAATGTGACATGAGAGGAGTCATCTACAATCACTCTGCAGAGTAAATGCATCAAAGTATCAAATGAAAAACATGTTATGTTGCTAACAGTCAGTGCAGCACACTGTAGTGCAACAGGAAGTCACCGATTGGGTGAATTCTGTGTGTGGGTTCGTGGTGCATCAGGCTGCACCAACTGACAGTAAATTTTAATCAGGATGACACAGTTCAAGTGGAAACTATTCCATGAAGTGTGTTACGGGAGCCATCAGAGGCTCTACAGGTTCCTCTTCCCTCTCCACAGTATGGACAACCTTGTGTCACCCCCACATGCAACACATATACCATATTTCCCTGTCTGTCGTCAACACACCTCCATACATTGTCCCATCAACTTATTAAACCCTGGCCAATCTATTCCCAGAAACAGGGCAAGCGTTTGGGAGCTAGCAGCAGCCTCAATTCTGTGCTTTCTGCCCTTGTACCACCTGGCCATCCTGCATGAGCGGGCACTTATTTCCCTTCTACAGCCACACCACTAATCATACCTCACTGCCATGATGCCCATGTTGAAAATCCTGATTAACCATACTTAAATGAGTAAAGTTGCGACATTACATAATACATAAAAGTTTTTTCATGTAATGATTTTTGAAAACTACTTGCATCATCTCCGTTTATTGTTAACATGTGTACATCAGCAAATGCTAGCTGTATCAAGGGAACCACCAGGACTCCATCACATGACAGTTCAGAAAGTTTATTGAAGTGAGGATTGAAGCCCAATCCAAAGCATAAGAACTTAGTGATGTTTCCACAGGGCACATTTTTCCAAGTATTGGCAGCCAAACCAAGATACCAGGAAAAGGTGAGTGATCACTAGCAGCTGTGTGGAGACCAAGGGCAGGAACGTGGGATGAGGCCCATCCCACCCAATGCAAACTAACAGACATCCATACATTCACACACACGCACTGAGGACTGAGGAACCAATGAGAGCCTCCAGGCGACCCACCAATCCTATAATAAAAAAAATAACATTAAAGGGAAAACATGAAACATCATATAAAAAAAAGTTCTCAGCAGTTAAATTGCTGCGCCCTCCTCTGGTCATTGTGGTCAGGGGCTCCATGCTGGCTTCTGTCCACCTGCAGCTCATCCTCGACCGGCATTCTTTGCTACATCATATCCTAATCCACAGCATGATCAGCACCTTTGGCTGGTGGTTATGCTTAGGGTGAATCTACTGGCAAAAGAGAGCCAGCTGAGGTGTTTGGCAGAGTGGAGTTAGGCAAGGTTCATTTACTCAATCACAGCAATCAGTGAATGTTCTGCTCCCTCTGTTCCCTAAAGGTTTGCAAACCCCAGGAATTGCTGAAGCTGTATCCTGTTTTGGGGGTACTTCTGAAATTCTGACTCCATGTTCAGACCATGGAAATCAAAAAAATCTGATTTATCCTCTCTTTTTTCTACAAAGAAGAAATCCAGCAGGCGGAGAATAGGAGCAGCTAGTGAGTCTGTGATACTTTCTCCAAAGCCTCTCGTTCATGTTTTATGAGACTGTACACACATCTTGAAAACAACAGAGCATCAGGAAGCAAATCAATACAGCAGTCATATGGCCGGTATGGAGGGAGAGAGAGAAAGAGCTGTGTTTACTGAAAATGTCAGCTAGCCCATGATATACACCAGGGACAAAAGACAGATCAGGCAGGTAGACAGGCTAGGAACACAAACTAACTTTAAACAGTTTTGGTGACTACTGAGACTCCAGACAGAGATACAATTATTGTTCCAATCTATATTTGGACTATGAGTGCTAAGCCAAGAGTCTTCAAGAACCAGGGGAGTGCTAGGATCATTGAAAAGGAAAAGACTAATTTGGTAGAATGCTCTAGCTCTAATTTGGCCCTTTTTTTACTCTACCTGAGCACTCGAAGCAACTTGCCCCATTCACTCATGCACTTCTTCATATGCTTTTTTTGTTGTTGTTATAAATATGTGCTTTCTAACTAATATCCAATGGATGCAGCCAGGAAATGAACTACCAACCTTGTGATTACTAGATAACCTCTACTTCCTGAGCTACAGCCACTCCTTTTTTGAACATGATTGCCAGACAAAGCGAGACAGAGACTGATCAATAAAATTCTGTTCGGCGTCTCAGTCACCAAATTCTTGGACTAAATAGGTGCAATTGTTGACAACTAGTTTAGCAGGCACCAAAAGTCTTGGTAGGGAAGTGTCACTGTTTATTTTGCCCACCAGTATCCCAGCAGTTACTGACAGACAACACACTGGACATCAAACAGGGCTATAGGGTTAAACCACTACCACACCTGGGGAAGTCTAACCACACATTACTGTTTTTGATCCTGGAATGTATCCCACTCATCAAAACTGCTACAAAAAATAGCACAAAGACAGTCAAAACTTGGCCAGACGGAGCCTCTTAGCAGTTGTAGGAATGTTTCAGCAAGACATACTGGGATATTTTAGAACATGGAAGTGTTTTGTGACAGTGTACTATGCTACATCAGGAACTGCATAGACATTGTCACAGAGGATAAACACATTTAAATCCATCCCAACCAGAAGCCCTGGATGATCTAGGAGGTCCAGAGCCTGCTGAAGGACAGGAACACCGCCTTCAAGTCTGGTGACGTGGCTCTGTACATCAAAGCCTGTGCCAACCAGAAGAGAAGCATCCATGAGGCAAAGTCAGACTACAAGAAAAAGATTGAAGAACACATGGACAGCAATTAAAGCAAGCAGGTCTGGCAGAGGAACTGACCGTCTACTTTGCCCGGTTTGAGGTGGGATCATAAGAGTCAGCTGGATCCTATCCTGATACCATCAAAAGTCCCATTCTCACAGTGGAGGAGCACAATGTGAGGTGCACGCTGCATGCCGTCAACCCTTGGAAGGCAGCTGGATCTGACGGCATCTCACGTACTGAAGGACTGTACAGGCAAACTGGCTGGGGTCTTCGCGAGGATATTCAACCAGTCCCTGTTTTAGTCGGTTGTCCGACCCTGCTTGAAGTTGTCTGTCATCGTCCCTCTGGCCAAAAAACAAATCATCACCAGTTTCAATGACTACAGGCCAGTAGCTTTGACTCCTGTGGTGATGAAGTACTCATCAGGAACCACATTATGTTCTTCATTTCTACCACATTCAATCCATACCAGTTTGCCTACAGAGATAATAGGTCTACTGATGTTACTGTGGCCACAGCTCTCCATGCTGTTCTGTCCCACTGGCCACACTCCACTTGCCTTTGGCCAATGAGACCACCTACAGGGATGAGGTGGAGCATCTGACAGTGTGGTGTAGAAAACACAACTTGTTCCTGTACACTGCAAACACCAAGGGGCCTGTTGTGGACTTCCGCTTTTTGGGAGTCAACATCAGCGAGGATCTGATCTGGGAAATGCACACTGCTGAGGTAATGAAGAAGAGACTGCTTTCTGAGCATTCTCACAAAGAATAACATCCCTGAAAAATGGTGGGTGTCCTTCTATTGCTGCACAGTAGAAATAATCCTGGCATTTTTTCCAGCTGCACAGTAGAACAGAAGAAAGAGCTCCACAGGGTTATCCAGATATAGTCAGCCATCTTCTGCTCTCACTTGAAGAACTGCACAGGTCTCAAGAACATTAATAAAATCCTTTAATCCTTTAAAGAGACCCAACTTATCCTGGTCATGTACTGTTTGAACATCTACCTTTAGGAGGATACCTAGGTATTTAAAGAAAAATGCACCCTTAGAGAGCAAACGTTTCTTAGGAGGAAAGATGGCCAGAGGTTCTTGTAATCTTCAGGCAGCATTGCATTAAAAACAGGCATGATCCTGTTGTGGATATCACTGCATAGACTCACAAGCATTTCCAGAAATCATTGTCTATGGTTCGCTGTGCCATTCAAAGGTTAAAGCTCTGTCACACAAAGAAGAAGCCATGTTCAAAAATAAATGTTCTATGTTTAATTGTGAAAAGAAGATAGGTTTATGTGATTTTAAAATTATTCTATTATTTGTATTTATATTTTGCACTTTAAAAAAAAGAGTTATCTATTTGCACACTGATCCCCTTATAGTTGGAGCAAACCCTGCAGTCCCCCATTTTAAAGATAGGAACCACAATCCCAGTGTGTCAATCCAGAGATACTCCACGCAACATTGTGGAGGTGTGTCAACCACGACAGCCCTACAACATCCAATCCTCAATTGAAGTCAGAAGTGCTCCAACCACACTATGCACAATATGGATACAGCACCGCTTTACTCTCTGGAGTCACCTGACAGTTTGCCTGAATCACTTTGAGTCACTCCAAAAGTCTTTTTTCTGTGGCCTCACAAAACTTCTCCCCACCCCGAGTTTCTGCATTAAGTCCTGCCCGAGCAAGGTGCGCTTGGCCTGCTGGTACACATCGGCTGCCGCCGAAGTCCCACAGATTAGCCTTTCTCCACCTGATGCTGCCCTTAATCTGGTTCAGGGGTTACCACCTCAACAGGCACCAACCACCTTGCGGTCGCAGCTCAGTGCAGAAGTACATCAGTAAGGTGCTACACATGGTCCATGGTCCATTCAGACTCAGTTCAGTCTACATCACAATACTGTTGAAGCTCTGCTGGAGGTGGGAGTTAAAGATGTCTCGGACAAGGGGCTCTGCTAGGCATTCCAAGTGCACCTTCACTGTATGTTTAGATGTGCCAGGTCTGTCCAGCATCCTGTCTCGCCACCTGATCCAACTCACCACCAGGTGGTGATTAGCTGACAGTTCAGTCCCTCTCTTCAGCAAAGTATCCCGAACATTCGGCCACAGATCTGATAATAAGAATACAAAATCAATTAACGACCGGCGGCATGGGGTATCCTGGTGATATGTGCATTCGTGGGAAAACTGTGGTTTGCACAGAAGTCCAATAACAGAACACCGCTTGGGTTCTCACCAAGGGCATCTTCAGACTAGGACAGAGTCAAGCCCCAGACTCTCATCCTAACACACTAGCTCAGGCTCTTTCCCCAACAGAAAGGTGACAGTCCATATCTCAATCACAAGCCCTCATGCACCCCAGGGGCTTGGCCACTACAGGGGTTTTGCCCACAAGGATTTGTGACCTGTAGTTGGGATTGGTCCGCCAAGGGCTCCGCGCTTTGCTGCCTGGCACACGTTGCACCTGATCCCTACAGCGCCTTCTGCAGGGGGTGGGCCTACAGGAGGGTGGGCCTATGACCCTTCTGCACCTGACTGGGCCCCATTGGATGAGGCCCAGCCAACAGGCGCTCACCTCCCCAGGCCCATCTCCAAGGCCTGGCATAGGTAACACTATCCCAGGCAGGGCCAACTGTTGTCTTGATGTGACACATATAATCACTGTTTGTCTGGCCCCTCACCCTGGACCCTACCAGGGGGCAAAATCCCCCGACCTGGGATCCCAGGGAAACATAAACCCCTGCACACCCTCTCGTGTTCGGGTCAAATCTGACCGATGTACAAATGAAAAAACTCATAAACATTGTGTTTTATATCCGATTGCCTCGAGGCCTTATGACGTCCTCCAAACTATGCACTTGAACATATAAAAGTGATGAGCACCTCTTTCGTTGAATTTTGAGTGTTTTAATCAATTTTGTCACACCTGTGGTGTTCCCAGTCTAAGGTCACCGCCATAGAAAATGAATGAGAAACCCCCCCCCCCCCACCCCACCCCTTTGGCCTCTGACCCCCTGAATGGGTCACTGAATGACAAAATGAAAGACCCACTTTTACGACCTACTGAACAACCCACTGAATGTCCCATTGAATGAACACTGAACGACTCATTGAACGACCCATTGAGCTGAGTTTGGTGGTGAAAAATGTCTCTTGTGTTTTTTTAGAGCTGTTAAAACTAACCGGTGAATTTTGACCGGGAACACCAAAGTAAGGGTGGGTGAACACAACCAGAGGGTTAATAGTAACTGATCTTTAATGTCCTCAAATCAAATGAGAGTAGTATATATTTTTGTTTCTTAAAAACACTTAATGAATAATTAAAGGAAAAGCTACCACTTCCAGCACTACTGTCACCAAAACCTGTTACAGTAGTTAACTACTAACTAATTAATTTTTAAACTAATGTTGGAAATTGAAAGCAAAGGGCAGATTTGCAGACAGGTGTGAACAAAAATGCAAAGCTTTAGGTAGGCTATTTTCAGATTCCAGAATTACAGAATCCATTGTAAGGAAACCAAAATACACAGCACTTCTTTAACAGGCAGGGACATGCGGGTTTGATAACAGAAACTGAGACAAAGACTGAGTTGAAGACAACGTTATTTATACACAAAAGGATAATCAGAGAATTGGACAAGGGAGGGTAACAAGGTGCAGCTGAAGATAATCAAATGAGATTTGGGGTGGGGGAGTGGGCAAACCTGACTCATTAGGATAAGACAGAAAACACTGAGGGAACAATATAAACTGTAGTGTAAACTGGAACTAATAAACTAATAAGGCTCAGCATATATGAAAATCTAACAATTAACAAGAACCAAACTAAGAACCAAACAGAGAACATATTAAATAAGGAATTCAAAATCCAGAAATCATAAAATAATCAGCAGCATTGACAGAATTCGTAGATGTTTACACTGTGACCCATTAGTTGTACATTTTGATACACAAACTAGTATCAAAATCGCAATGTTGGATGTTGCCATTTGTTTTGTTTTTTTGTTTGTTTGTTTTTTTGCCATTTGTTGCCACTTGTTGCCACACAGACACACACTCATGAACACATTGCTGCTGCTGCAGGAGACGGATGATGAAGATGAAGGCTCTTGCAACATTAAGGAGTGCCTCGAGGCCTTCCTGCGCTGGCTGCGAGGTCTCAGCTGGTTCAAGTGGCTCAGGAACAAAAGGCAAATAAATTACTCTGTGAAGTGATGTGAGCTCTGCCAGATTCAATGTCACACTTCCTTCTGTTCTTTCTTTGCAATATGTCATACAACTGGCTGATATTTTGCTGTAGCTATCGTTCAGTCTGAGTGCTTTCTGTTTTACACCTACAATAAGAGAACCTACTTTTGGCTGCCCCCTGTCACAAGGGGTCACTCTGCATGTTTGATGTGTCTGACTGTATGTTTGGGCTTTTCCTTATGCTACTGTTTTAACTTGGATCTGTTTAGATGCTTCTCCAAATGTGGCCCATACCCACATCTTTCTATGGGCCACTTGGCCTTCTTTGGTGGCTCACTCATATGAAAAGTGTCTGGTGTTTTTTTCTGTCTTAAATGTTACAAAGTTCTCTGGTACTTATATTTAGAAAAGTTGCATATTGAATCATGTAACACACAATGTTCAGCATTATTATTGCTGACCTCCATAACCCTCATAAATCCCTCTAAATGCTGTTATCGGATTTATTTATAACATAGTGGTTCTTGTGAATAATGTGGTCACAAATATGCAGGATTAAGTACCATAGTAGATATTATACACAAGTGGCTATCCCAAGTACACTGAAAATCATTGTATAACAAAAATTAGTGGTGTCCCAACAGAAGTTTTCCAGGATTTACAAAGCTGAACTATTTTCAGCCCACAGAAGCTGTTTAAAACTGAAGCATGACAGCAGTCGGAATAATTTACTGAGGAAGAAATTTAGGAGTTGCTACAACCCCAGTTCCAGAAACTTAAAATTAAAAGAAAATAAAAATAGTAGAGTGCGGTGATTTTTTTTAATACCATAAAATACCTCTGTACAACAGGGCCAAAAACCAAAAACATTTGGAGCCCCCATGATCTTCAGGGCTCCCTCAGGCAGCAATTCATTTAAAAGGCACGATTCTGCCATGATGCTGCACAGTGGGAAACATAATCCCAATTCGACTTTTGGAGACATGTTACTGCCTCAAATTGACTGAATGAATAAGGACAACAAGAGAAGTGTGCATGTCGGTGGGAGAAGGTAATGTCGAGCAGGGGATATGCATCCATCAAGATAGAAATATGCAATATGGTAGAAAATGCAGAAACCAGAGAGACGAGAAGCAGGTCAGACGAGGGGCTCCAAAAGCTGGGGGAGCAACCACAGTGCTGCAGGACCGGGCTGAGTCATCTGAAACAGGTGAGGAAAACCCTGGGATGGAGAAGGTACCCAAACAGATGACCGAGGCAAACGGCAAAACCTTAATGCTTTGCAGCAACTGTTGGAGGTGATATATAAGGGAACTGCCAAGAGCAAGCTCAACAGCCTTTGGAAGTTCATCTTCGAGGTCTGCAGAGAGATGTTTGGTGAGCTTAGGAGGAGTGAGCCCACAGCCCCAAGGAAAGGCAGAAGAGAGAGAGATGGAACAACTGACCAAAGACTGACGCCAACTCCGTCGCAACTGTAGGAAAGCAGCACCCCATGACAAAGCCAGCTTGAAGGAGCTGTGGGACAAGCTCAAACAAAATCACACCAGGTTGCAGAGAGTGGAGAGAATTGGAAAGAGAAAGACAAAATAAGAGAAAGAGAGAACTAGAGCTTCATCAGGGATCCCTTTGGGCTTGCTTGAGAGTTGCTGGATGAAAAGAGGATTGGCAACCTAATCATCAATAAGGAGGCGCTGGAGTGATACATCAAGAAGCAGGAACTCCAGCAACACTTGAGGGAAGACGAACAACTTTAATAATTGACCAACGTGTTTCGGCTTGTGGCCTTCATCAGGGTCATAGTAAAACATTGTAAAAAAATTCCTTAAATACAAGACAGGAAACAGAAAAAAATTCTAATTAACCAGTCAAAGCTTCATAGATAGGTCAGCTGACATACACTCAAAAAAAATGAAATTGGGTTGTTGTTAAATTTACAAAATTCACTGCACTGCACTGTCAAAGCACCCAAGAAGGTCTTGGGTTCAAATCTGCAATCTGGCCAAGTTTGCAGTGGGTTCTCTCTGAGTACTCTGGTTTCCTGCCACAGTTAAAGTCATGCAGTAATTAGGGTTAAGTTAATTGGTGTTTCTCAAATATCTGTGAACATGAGGGCAAATGGTTGTCTGTCTCTCTGTGATAGACTGGTGACCTGTCCAGTATTCTGACTCCCACCCTGTCACATCCGGGATAGGCCCCAGCCTCACTGCAACCCTGGTAAAGATAAGAGGACGGATGGAGTGCAAGTTATTATAAATCCATTAACATTTTATGTTAACCAGACTCTAGACTTTGTTGAACACTCCAAAAAAATAACTCTTTAAATGAACTTAAAATAAATGGATTAATAAATGGATTTCTATTACGAATAAGCATGTTTTGTTGCACTAACGTCATTTGCATGGGTTGGATCAAATCAGTTAAATTAAGTTGGACACAACTGTAGTAAAACAGTTGATTCATCATTAATTAATCAAGTTAGTCCAACTCAAGTACATTAAGTTGGAATAACAGAATTGCATAATGCTAAAATAAAGCAATTTAATTACGTGGAAATTCTTAGATTTTTTTTTATGTTCATTCAAAGAGTTATTTTTTTGAGTGTATAATAGGCACGTTTGAACTTAGAAAACAAGATTACATCATAACATGGGAACACATTTGTTAAAAGATCCTTATTTATGTCTCTAAAATGTAAAATCTAGACTTAAAATGTGGACTTAAAGTGAGATGTCTAGAACGCTACTCCTTTGGTTAAAATAATTAAAAAAAAAAAAAAAAGGGGGGTGTTGTTCATAAAAACTCATTGATAGAAAAGTCCTCATTCATACCTCAGGGGTGCAGACTCTTAAAACAGAATATCCAAAATGCTTCTCTTTTTTCAGATAAAATTTATATTGGCACCTCTTTGGTCTATGCCTCGGAAAAATAATGGTGAATTTGGATGTTTATCATTGAAGTGTCTTGCAACAGGGCTGGTTAAATCATTCCTCTTGATCGAGCTTCTGTGTTTGTTAATTCGATCCTTCAGAGGGCGGGATGTTTCTCCTATATATATTTTATTGCATGGGCACTGTATCATGTAGATTACATTGTTAGTTCTGCATGTAATAAAGCCCTTTATGGCAATGGTTTTGTCACCTATAGGGTCTTTGAATGATTTAACATTTTTGGTGTATTGACAATTAATGCCATGTCCAGAAAGTTAATTTCTTCAGTGCTGTAATTGAGGGTGAAACGTAAGCCTGCAAAGTGTCCATTAAGGAATTCTACAAACTTTAGTAATATAGAGACTGGTCCTTTCCAGAGTAGAAACACGTCATCTATATAACGTTTCCAAGACACAATGAATGATAAATAAGGGTTATTTTGGTGATTATATAGAATTTGTTCTTCCAGATGACCAACAAAAAGGCAGGCAAAACTGGGGGCCATTTTGGTTCCCATTGCAGTGCCAGAGATCTGAAGGTATGGTGTGTTGTTAAAAAAGAAATAGTTCCTTTTAAGGACAAAGGCAGCCAGCCTTGTTAGGAAGGAACTAGATGGTATTTTAGTACACCTAGTCTCAAGGAAATGCACGTTTTTTCTTTCTTTTTTTAATTATTATCATTTTAACCAAAGAAGGAGTAGCGTTCTAGACATCTCACTTTAAGTCCACATTTTAAGTCTAGATTTTACATTTTAGAGACATAAATAAGGATCTTTTAACAAATGTGTTCCCATGTTATGATGTAATCTTGTTTTCTAAGTTCAAACGTGCTTTTACCATTAAAGACTGTCCTTTTTTTTTTTTTTTTTCTTCTGTGTATATTTATAGCATCCTCCTTATGCATTTCATGCATGTGTTATTTTCAGGCATATGGGGGTTATGTGACCCCCCTCCTCCTCATCAGTAATGATCTAGTCCGGTATTTACTTGGGCGTGACTTAGCCAATTAACCAATACCTACCTATTATATGTCAGCTGACCTATCTATGAAGTTTTGACTGGTTAATTAGAATTTTTTTCTGTTTCCTGTCTTGTATTTAAGCAATTTTTACAATGTTTTACTATGACCCTGATGAAGGCCACAAGCCGAAACGCGTTGGTCAATTATTCAAGTTGTTCATCTTCCCTCAAGTGTTGCTGGAGTTCCTGCTTTGTGAATTCTTTCATCCTCTCCATGCACCTTGGAAACAGGTGAAGTTGTCAAGGTCAAGGTCAGATTTATTTATATAGCACATTTCCAACAGCCTATGCTGCACAAAGTGCTTAACAATAACAATAAAATTAAAAATCTTCGTCCG